ATCATTGTAATAGTATTTTTTCCTGAATTTTTATGAATTTTTCCGCTTCCGAAATTTCACTGAAAATTAATTGCATGCCAAAGAAATTTAATGTCTTGTTCGTAATCGTTCTCGTTGCAAAAAGCAATGCGAATGATGAAAATGATATGTTCCAATTTATTAGTTGTTAATTCTGCAATTGCAATAAATTACTCATCTGCTAATTGCTACGATCACGGAGTAACATTTTAATCATAAAATTATAATGCAATTTTTTCTCTAACGTAATTCAGAGAGTAAATTTCTTAAATTCAATGATCGTTGATACTCTAGTAACAATGCGTACCAACACTTATAAATTGTTCTAATTAGCTCTTTCGGTATTTCACTTAATTTGTGGTCATATGATCAATACAATTCTAATATCAACACCTTATATATTCAACACAANAACACCTCATATATTCAGCACAAAATAAATAATCAAAAGTTAAAATAAATTCATGATAATGATGCAGATCAAATGACATAAATATGATCATTCTAATTCTCAGCTATTACGAAATGAGTCACAGATTTTTTTTCTACACATATAAATTTTGAATTTGGATACTGTTCTTTTTTTTCTTTTGTCTCGCTTATATTTTACTATTGGGTAATACTTGAGAGTGGATTATATGCCGAGGACACTGGACACTACTATATTGAAGTTGGATATTATTTTTATCTATTCAAAGAAAAATAAATTTAACTATTGATTCTAATCATCGTCGTTTGAAGAAAACGTCAGTAAATGCAACCTTAAAAAAGTTGAAAAAATGATTAAGACAATCATAATTTATTTATCAATAAAAAATACAGAGCAATTTGGAACAGAGTAATTATTTTTCAAATGAGAATTCTAGTAACTTGGATGGAAAAATGTATTGAATTCCATATAATTGTCATGAAATGTGAATTTCATTGCTTGCTCTTTCAAACTAAATTAAATATCTTGTTGCCTGAAATTTACTACTAAAAGATCCATGGAATTTCATTTTTTCTTCAACAGTTTAATTACCTTATTCAATAATCCTTAATTTTTCACTCTAGAAATTATTTTTTTTCTAAATCCCGAAAATTTCAACAAAAATCAATTTAATGCAAAAAAAAATTATGTCTTTAGAAGTTTAGAGCATTTCCATATTCATTCCTGCAAAGCGAATGTAGAAAAAGGCAATTATTCGCGGAATGTCTTTATTTGCGAACTTTTACTGGCCAATTCAATGAAGGAATTAGATGATAGAAATTCTTCAAATAAAAAAAATTTAGACTTTTTTGTGTCATGTAGAAAATTCATTACTCTTTGATTATGTAAAATAAATATTTATTTCATTTAACAAACGCTTGAACTAAAATTGAATGAAAAAGTGGAACACGAATATTTTAATAGTTACAACTTAGAATTGGGTCTGAATGATTTGGAAGAATATGAGATTCATTTCTTTTATTCCACGATTGACATTCAAGTTTATTTAATTATGAACTATTTCAACCATCTTGTCAATTTTTAAACCTTATCACTAACGAATAATTACCCATTTCATTCAACATAAACATATCTGTGTGGAAAAAATATGCACTGATTTCCCATTCCATTTATCATAAACAAAAACGTGTGCAAAATTTATGCCCTGATTTTCTATTGCAGTCAAAACAAACAATTTCGTGTAAAAAAATATGCACTGACTGTATGTATTTCATGTATTCCTTATTTGAGATTAGAAATCCTTTTTTAATTCACGTGAATTTTTTCCAAAAATAAAATAAGGATTCTGATGTCCTAACATCAACTTGAAGTCTTGAACTCTCTCAACATCGATAATTTTTCACAATTCCGGGAGAAGGAAATTTCTTTCAGAACTTTTACTACTTTTCTCTATTCTTTTACAGAAATTCAAAAATTTTGTGAAATTGGTGTATAAAAAAACCAGTAAATTTCTCTATGTTTTTCACAATTTTCATTCGATATTTCCATACCATTTTTAATTTGAGATTCTCGAACCTTGTTTATGATACTTTTTTTCGATGAATTTACAATATTTCCTTTCATAACCAACACATTAATGTGTGAATTGACTGAGAATAGAGATTAGAATGGAGCGACTAGGCGCACAAAGCGCCCTATGCCACCTAAATCTATCAAGATCTATTGTAGCGGCCGCTTGATCAAGACTTTGAATGGTTAGATCATCACCATTCTCCCCGACCGCGAATCGAACCCGAAACCTCTCGCATGTGAGGCAACCCTCTTACCCCCTGCGCCAGGTCGTCGGGTTTTGACTGAGAATAAGAACTAAAAAATATTTTTACCAATTATTTGCTCGTTCCTTATTTCAGACTAGAAATGATCTTCAAAAGTCGCGTCCATTTTCACGAAATTATTTATGAAGATTCCCCTTTATAGTGCCCGTTTTTTTTTCAATGCCATCGGTCGGTGTCCCCGCCGAAGTTCGTCCTCATTCGAGCTATTTCGAGTTCGACTTTCAACTTTCGGCGTTCGACTTTTTTCAATTCGAGTTTTACCCTTCGTGTCTTTTATGATCGAGAGAAATAAAAATATAGAATCCGATCAATACCCGTAATTGTTGCAAAATAAGGGAAGTGTTATGTATCGATAAAAGCAAACAATTTTTTGGGAATTATTCATAAAAACCCGTGGAATTTTTAGAAAACGGAATAATTTTTTAGATTCTTTTCGAATGAACAGGAAAAAAGACGTTTCTCTAGACTTTCCTGAGAAATTGGCGAATTTTCTCGGTTTTCTAAGGAACCGGCGAATTTTTTAGAATTCTCTAGAAAAAAGAATGATTTTTTCGAATTTTTCAGGACACTAAAGAATTTCCTAGAAAATCAGAGAATTTTCTCGAATTCTCTAGAAAATTGGAGAATTTTTCAGAATTTGCTCTAAAAGCGAAAAATTTCCTTGAATTTTCTAGAAAATCAGAGAATTTTCTTCAATTTTGTAGAAAACATCTTGAATTATCTGGAATTCCAATAGATGGGGTCGCGGCATAGAGACTTTGTTTCCCCAAAATGATCCCCCATAATGGAATCATAGACGCATAAATGTGAAAAATTGCAGACTGCTGTATTTTTGATACAACTGTAATTGTACGTAGATACGTTTATGTTTTTTCCTTCTCTCTCGAATTTCCTAGAAACTCCTGGCATTCCCTCAAATCATCTAGAAATTCCTTGCATTCACTCGAATTCTCTAGAAACTCCTTGCATTCGCTCGAATTTTCTAGAAACTCCTCGAATTCCCCGGAAATTTCTAGAAACTCCTTGCATTTCTTTGAATTTTCTAGAAATATCTTGAATTCCCTCGAATTTTCTAGAAACTCCTTGAATGTTTTCGAAATTTCAAGAAACTTCTCGAATTACCTCGAAATGTCTAGAATTTTCTAGAATTCCGACAAATGGCGCTAAACATAAGGACTGTTTTAAAAAATGACTGATCCCCCCATAATGAAACCATAGACGTATCCACGTAAAAATGAGAGTGAATGAAATGCATTACATTCGCAAAAAAGACGACAATGAAAAAAATTGAAATTAATGAAATTCATAAAATTACATGATGAATGGAAATCCAAAAAGAAAGAATCAATCAATTTTGTGCATGATAAACATGCGCAAATTGGAAAATATGACGCAAAGAATAATTCGTAAGTTTGAAGAATTTGAAAATACCGCGTGTTTTTCACTGACCAATCAGAATAGACGATTAGCGGTCAGGCAATTTCGAGATATATCCATAAGTGATTCGAGATATATCGAACGTATCTTCTTTTATAGGTAGAAAAAATTACATTCAACAATTTCAAAAAAAAAAAGAGTAACGAAATTTCGCCGCATTCGTTTGCAAAACAATATAAATCAACCTTTGAGAACTCACCAGTAAACCTTAGATTATTGAGAGCCCATAGGGCCCATTTCAGCTTCAATCCAAATCTAAAGATACCATTATACTTCTTTAATGCCTCCTTCGTCAGCACCATATTGATTGGCCAATCAGCATCATAATTTAACATGATATGATCCACAGCCTGCAGGACTTGTCGTGCACAAACGTCTTTTAAAGAAATAGACCACCGATTATGAGAACTCGAATCTCTCCACTCATCTGACAGCACCTCCTCCAACAAATGCGTCAGGTTCTCCGTATTAGTGACCGATACATTCCTCTCAACATCGCTAAACATCATCTGATAAAATCTCGTCATAACATGTCCCCGTTCCATCATAAATACAGATCTCATCAACCTCAGGTGTTTCTCCAGTTTATACTCATTAATCAAGATATCCTTCACCAATTTAGCAGCACAGGAGTATCTTCTATCGAGAATCTCATCAAGAACTTCTTCAAGAACCTTTCTAAAGGGTAAAACATACCGAGACATTTTTTCTAATCTCTTAAATATTTGAATCCCCGAACACGATTCTCTACACGCTTTGGTAGTCTCATCTCCTTTACAATCAATAACATCAACATTAATCGGAGGTAAATACTTCTGGAAAACCTTCATAAGGAATGAATTATTAATCCGAAGCACCTGCTGTCTAATATTCTCTTCCAACTCTGTAAATCGCTGTTCAGATAGAACATCGGAATCACTCTCCATGATAATGTTGACTTCTTCAACATCATCAATCTCATCTGCCCCCCCAAACTTTTCCAATCCTTCTAAAACTCGCCTCGTAAATTCTTCACACAGCGGAATCCTCTCTTCAAATTGTTCCGAATTAATTCTCCACATGTCCGATATCCTATCCAATGTCACTAGCAGCTCAATACTCCTCCCCATATCCCTGACTTTTCTGAATAATTTCTTCATGATTGGATCTAGCGTCTCAGGCTCTTCATTCTCAAGCATAATGAATTTAATCCTCCATAAAGACGAAGAACTCCCATTTTCTTCCTTGTCTTGAGCTTCAAAGTTTTTTCTTTTGACTTTTGAAATTAGAAACTCATGTCTGAAGTCCTCCAGACGTCCTTCACTCAGCCAAGTGTCGATAATATTTAGATAGACCTTCAAAGATGAGAGATATAAAGAGGCACAGAGGTTCGTGCGTTTTCGACTACTGGAGTTCTCCATCTCCTTATATATCGATAAGAGTAGCTTATAAGCCTTTTTCCAATTATTTTCATCATTTCCCGGAAGTACTAAGGACCTGTGAACCTCATCCAGAGTCTCTAGTATGTCCAAGTGCACTTCCAGTTCTCTCGAAAGAGTTAAAAATGTGTTTATATCGTTCTGCTTCATCACTCTTTGTTCGATCTCAATAATTTTTTTCTTAACATCGCGATAATAATCTTTGATAGACGAATTGTAGACCTCGAGAGTCAAAGGAGGAAGCCCGCCCCCCTCATAAATATTATAGATACTCTTTCCAAACAAATTAATTCGATTAATCATCTCCAAGTATCTGCAAAAGGTCGAAAATGCAGAATGAAACGATTCGGGAGTTAACCTCGTGATTGAAACATTTTCTTTAACATAAAAAGAATTCAGTGATTTTTTTTTGAAGATTATCATCTCTATGGGCACCTGAAACATCCAGAGCAACTCCCTGCATGCTTGATATTCAGTGATTATGACCACAGACTTAGAATTGTTAAGAATTTCTTTGTTATAGATTTTAAAAAGATGGACATGAGAGAAATTTGAGTTAGGTTTTGTATCACAAGGGTTTATCATATTCCACCAGGTGTTTTCGACGTTGGAGTCTAGCCAATTACGAGACTCGATGACTACCTTGAAGATGGAGGGGGTTTTCTGGTCGCGAAGAGGGTTTGGAGATTGTAGAGAAGGAAGACATAATTCATTGTCAAATTTTTGTGGTTTTTCAGGATTTATAAAAAGTTTTGAGAGTTTTTCATCATCGTCGTCACTCCACTCCGACTCGGAACTACTTGCGTACTTGGCAAAAAAGATTGCCTCGCCCTCTTTGAGATGCTCTCCCCAGTCAATCTCGTCCACTTCCTCTGAGGCTGAAGATGTTAGGGTTTTGTCGACCTTTGTCGTATGTAGACAATCGATTTCGGATTTCGCGGTATCTCTCGAGAGATTTAAAAGTAAGCCGAGGAGGGACCATTGAAGATCGTATTGTGGATGATGCTCGAAATCGAAACTTGTCAGAAAATTCTCCACGAGAGTTTTAAATTCTCTCGCAACATTGTACTTTCCATAGATTCGGAATTTTTGCTCCAATTCAGCGATTGTGCGTTTCACTGCGTGACTGTTGATCGAAAGAAAGCGATGGTGTTTCATATTGGAAAACACGTAGCGCTCGCATAGCGGATAACCCTCGTCTGATTCCTGGGAAAGGATTAATTCATTTAGTCAGTAACTGGTGGAAGGACGTACGTGCCAATTCAATTTCATTGGTTTGATTAAATGTTGAGATTATCGTGCTTTGGTTTGGAAAGAAAACTCAATAGAAAATTGCAACTAGATTACCAATAAATCAGTTAATTGTGAAATATTTTTTACTTCAAATTCCGACGACTACGAGGTTTTCTAATCAATGGTTGTAAACTTCTTGGCATGAATAATATTAGTAGAATAGTGGGAACATTCATTCATACTCTGCGTTTATTACTAATCTCTAATCTAGTCTAGTTTAGTTCTAGTATAGTGTACAAATTACGAATGACTGCTGGATATAACCTGCTGTACTCACCTCGAATCCTGTTAAGGAGGTTATTAGGAGTTTGAGATCGTTTTGAATGTCGTTTAGAATCCTCGAACCCATTTTTAATAATTTTATTGTACAAATTTCATGGTATTTTTCAGTCGATTAAAAGTTAATTTTAATGCAATCACGTCATTTTATCAGCAGCTCACGTTCAAATAATTTTTTTAGTGTTTACTTTCAAACGTTTTCCCAAAGAGGATAGACTAAAGTACAGGTTCAGATAAAGAGGATAGACCAGAGTAGAGGCCCGGATCGGGGGCAGAGATAATAGGGGAGATTGCTCAGGCTTATGGGAAATGTTCGATCAGAATTTTATAGCGGTGGCACGCATGAACTAATCGAGAGGCCGTCTCCGTGGGTAAAGAAATTTTCATGTATTACCATGGAAACAGTCGATAACAGGGATGCGTTCCCAATCTTAAATCCAACATGAAACCTTTGCATTCATTCATCCGCTTGATTAACCCATTTTCGTTCATACAACTTATTATTGTCTTAATTTGTAAATTAGTTGATCATAAAGGAGAGGGAGAGAAGGAATTATGAAGTCTTGAGCGAAAGAGGATCATTTATTTGAATTTCTATACAACTAGATCTTTAATAAAAAAAAAATACGAGCAATTCATCTTATTCACATTTATTAGATATTTTGTCAGTGATACAAAGGTAATGAATGAATTTCTAATTATTTTGATGAGAAATATATTCAATATTTGTGAGAGATTATATCTCAACAAATCTCATACAGATAATGGGATTAAATCAATAATAATAGATTAACGAATGAGACTTTTCGCAGATTATTGCGAGATTTAAATGAATGGTTTGCATTCTTCAGTGACCATAAAAAATTGTCTCCAATCGACAATATCTCCCGATGGAATGGAACGATGTGAATTAATCAATTGATACTTAAGTATCAATTTGAATCTTTAAAAAATTAATCGAGAGTGAAAAAAAATCAGGGAATTTAACTCTGCCATTATGGAGTTTTTGACGAGTGAAGTTTATTCACTGTACTCTGACATTTCTCTATTGTCTGTATTTACCGAGAAAAAAAAACGTTGTTCCTAGGAATCGATGTGTCTTTTTTAGGCAGCTGCATTTCTGAAATGCAATGAGCAAGCAATGTTAAAATTAAGTCATTTTGTAAAAAATTTCTAGTGACATGATCCTGAAAATCAAAGGAATGTCTTGAAATCAGGAATGATGTCTGTAAGTTTCAGTAATATTTTCGCAGAAATTCCGGGAACTTATTGGGAATTTTTACAGCGTTGCCGTAATACGGAAATTTCAAGGAATTTCGTCATTGCAAATTAAAAATTTCTATAAATTTCAGTCCAATTATATGTGTACGTCCACGTGAAAAGGGCCCACTTTGTCGCATCTAATTTCCGAGATATTCACGTTTTTCTCTCCTCTCCATTTATCCCAAAGTTAAATTGATTTTTTGATATTCTATACGGACGTCACGCGGAAAAAAATAAATCGGTAAAAGTCTTGTGATCGCAAGGAGTTTCCCGAAGATCCCCATTTTTCATGCACGAAGAACAATGAAGCTTTTTGGAATCTTCGGGAAATTCTATCCTATCCTACTCAAGTAGGAGCGGAGGAATGAATTTTCAAAAGTGCGGACTAACCGGAGGGGCTCCTCCGATAGGGAAATTCATTTCTCCCCCCCTAATTACGATGAAAGAATGAAAGCAATATCTATCAATCGAGAATTATATTCTCAATAAATTATAACGGTTTCATTCCTTAATCTTAAGTAGGAGCGGAGAAATGAATTTTCGAACGCGCGGAGAAATCCCGAATGGCTCTCCGGCGTCGAGTGAGTCCGGAGGGGCTCCCCTGATTGGAAGATTCATTTCTCCCCCCCCCCC